CCAGCCATTGTTTCTATGACTAAATAAAATACCTAAAACACGTAGTAGAAGCTTAAATGTTCATTTCCCCTTTGAGACCTTCTGAGAGCAGGAGATTCTGTCTCCTGGCAGGTTAAATCTTGTTTCTTGTAAACCTGATCAAACCTGTGTTTTGTTTTATTTTGCTTTGCAGGTATTCTAGTCTTTGTCCTATTGGCAATATTATGCAAGAAATTCTGTAGCTATAAATTATGATAAAGAATTAGTTTTTTTGTTTTTGTTTTTTAGAGAAAGTGTGTGCATGCACACAAGTGGGGGAGGGGGAGGGGGGAGAAGGAGAGAGAGAATCTCATGCAGGCTCCGCACCCAGCACAGAGCCTGACATGGGGCTGGATCCCATGACTGTGAGATCATGACCTGAGCCAATATCAAGAGTGAGACACTTACCCGGCGCCTTGGTGGCTCTGTAGGTTAAGCGTCCAACACTTGGTTTGGCTCTTGGTCATAATCCTTGCTTGGGACTCTCTCTCACTCTCTCTGCCCCTCCCCTGCTCATGCTCTCTAAAAAGAAATAAACTTAAAAAAAAAAAAAAAGTGGGACGCTTCACTGACTGAGCCACCCAGGCACCCCTAGAATTACTGTCTTAATTCCATAGTTCTTCTCCTGCTGTCTCCACCCCAATGTTGGTACTTCCCTCACATCTAAATTTGTGGCTAAGCTTTTCATAAACAGGGAACAAATCTGGTGCATTTTTGAGGCTGACCTAGGTAGACTCATGTATAAGTAGTGTTTGTGAAGATTCTTCTGCAAGACACCAGAGATTCTGTTCCATTTGAGTGAAAACTGCACAGAGCTCCTGATTTGGTGCCTGGGCCTCTTGAAAGCAAACTTCTACTCTGAGATGAGGCAAAAGAAGCCCTGATTTCTAAGATTCCTGACTGAAAAGACCTTAACACTGGATTCTTTTTTGGATACTCATACAGTGGAGATCAAAGTGGGCCCACCACACAGGCAAACAAGGAATGGAGCGACACAATGCATTGAGTAAAACTGTCAATATTTTGCCCACAAAATCAGTTAATTCTATTCAATAGCTTTCCTAAAATACATACATATGTGTGTGTGTGTGTGTGTGTGTATATATATATATATATATATATATATATATATATATACATGTATTATCAGATGCTAAAACTCACAAACATTTTAATGTTTGAATTTCCATAGTTCTTCCCCGTAAAGGAAAGGTACAGTATGGATAGAAGTTAGGAGACCCAGGCTATGACTCAGCCCTGGGCTCTAGGTTAAGCATATTGTCAGGCCCGACTGTCTTCTGCCTTCAGAACTGAAAAGTGGAATGACAACACAAAGAGAATGATGGTGTTTGTAAAGAGAGTGACAATAAGGCAAGCGTGTGGACAGGGGCAGAAATGAGCAGAAGGGTGAACTATGAGCTTCCAGGGACCAGTCCCAGGCCCCGCCTTACAGTCTATGTACACAGGGAGCCTTGGGTACTGGCATTCTGCTCTGAGTTCTGTAATCAAGTCCTACTTTCTGCTTAAGATTGCTCCAGTGGTTTTGTTATACACAGTCAGAATCCTGGTTAATGTAGTGGGTCATTTCCAGGGTCCCTTCATCTTGGTGATTCTGTGGCTGTGAGATGGAGAGTCCTTGTTTCCTGCTCTAGACATGGTGGGGGAGGGATGCTATCAAGGTTTTTATACTCTGAAATAAAGTCAGCAAGGGGTTATTATCTTTTTGATTGGAGAGGCACTGAATTCTAAATTATCCTCCTCAAATCCCAATGAATTTCTTCCTCTGCAAACTAGGTGGTAATTTTGATCAAGGTAAGTTAAGATCCAGATCTTTTTTTTTTTTTTTTTGATGTTTATTTTTGAGAAACAGAGTGCAACCAGGGGATGGGCAGTGAGAGACAAAGACACAGAATCTGAAGCAGGCTCCAGGCTCTGAGCTGTCAGCACAGAGCCCGACGTGGGGCTCAAATTCATGAACCACAAGATCATGACCTGAGCTGAAGTCAGATGCCTAACTGAATGAGCCATCCAGGTGCCCCAGATCCAGATAATTCTAATGAAGGATCTTTTGTCCTGAACATCACAGGATTTGTTCATGAATCTATGTCAGGTTGAAGCAACTGGACAATTCTGTGTGGCCACAGACATTGTTTTACCTGTGAGCTCAGAATCAGTTTCTAAGAAAATTATGCCATTAACACCTTTCTTGTATTGTCCCAGAGATATGCATAATGACCAGGCTTTCCCCAGGTCATTTCTCCAGATGTTTTTGCAGCATCTGATATCAAAAGATCATCATAAAACAAAAACAAACAGAAAAGAGTACAGTGCATGAGGATTTATTTTTTTTATTTTTATTAAAATTTTTTTTAAAGTTTATTTATTTTTGAGAGACAGAACATGAGTAGGGGAGGAGCAGAGACAGAGGGAACCACAGAAGCTGAAGCAGGCCCCAGGCTCTGAGCTGACAGCACAGAGCCCCACGTGGGGCTCGAACTCAGGAACCATGAGGTCATGACCTGAGCCAAAGTCGGATGCTTAACTGACTGAGCACCTTGAGGAGAGATTTAATGTAAATAAATCATTTATCTTCAATTTTAGGGACATGCTTAGGAAAGATGTAGAGCACTTTATCAGTTTTAATTATTAAATATTTTTGTTTTAAAATCTGAATTTGCATTTTTGTTTTAAATGTCAGTTTAGAGCTTACTTTTCCACCCAAATGCTAAAACACAAGATTAATCATCTTCCAGGGCACCTGGGTGGCTCAGTTGGTTAAGTGTCCAACTCTTGATTTTTGGCTCAGGTCTGTTGATCTCACAAGTTAGGTTCCACACTGAGAGTACAGAGCCTGCTTGGGATTCTCTCGCTCCTTCTCTGCCTCTCCTCCCACACTCTCTCTCAAAATAAATAAAAATAAAACTTAAAAAAAGATTAATCATCTTCCTTAAGTAGAAAGTAACATTATAATTTATTTTATACCCACTTTAAGAAGATTTTGAAGAGCGCCTGGGTGGCTCAGTCGGTTGAGCATCCGACTTTGGCTCAGGTCATGATCTCACAGTTCGTGGGTTCAAGCCCCGAATCAGGCTCTGTGCTGACCGCTTGCTCAGAGCCTGGAGCCTGCTTCAGATTCTGTGTCTCCTTCTCTCTCTGCCCCTCCCCAGCTCAAGCTTTGTCTCACTCTGTTTCTCAGAAATATATAAATGTAAAAAAAATAAAATAAAATAAAAAGATTTTGAGATGTGGGGGAAAAAGGAATCCTTGTGCACTGTTGGTGAGAAGGTAAACTGGTGCAGCCACTGTGGAAAACAGTATGGAGTTTCCTCAAACAAAAACAGAAACACCATATGATCCAGCAATTCCTTTAATGGCTATTTATAAAAAAAAAAAAAAGAAAAGAAAACACTATTTCTAAAAGATATGTTTATTGCAGTATATGTTTATTGCAGTATTATTTACAATAGCTAAGATATGGAAGTAACTTAAGTGGCCACTGATAGATGAATGGATAAAGATGTGCTATATACACAAAATGGAATATTACTCAACTATAAAAAAAGAATGAGGGGGTACCTGGGTGGCTCAGTCAGTTGAGCCTCCAACTTCAGCTCAGGTCATGATCTCATGGTTTATTTGAGCCCTCTGTCGGGCTCTCTGCTGTCAGCTTGTCAGTGCAGAGCCCGCTTCAGTTCCTCCAACCCCCTCTCTGCCTACACCTGCTTGCATGCTCCCTCAAATCAATAAGTATTAAAAAAAAAAGAATGAAATCTTGCCATTTGCAGCAACATGGATAGATCTAGAAGATATTATGCTAAGTGAATAAGTCAGAGAAAGACAAATACCATGTCATTTCACTCATGTGAAATCTAAAAAAGATGAATAAACAAATAAAAAGCAGAGACAGACCCTTAAATATGGAGGAAAAACGGATGGTTGCCAGAGGAGAAGAGGATGTGGGACTGGGCAAAATGGGTGAAGGGGAATGAATGGGAGATACAGGCTTCCAGCTATGGAATGAATAAGTCACAGGAATAAAAGGCACAATATAAGGAATATAATCAACGATACTGTAATAGCTTATGGTGAGCATAGCATAACATAGAGTTGTTGAATCACAATGTTGTACACCTGAAACTAATGTAACGTTGTGTGTTAATTATACTTCAGTTAAAAAAAAAGATTCTGAGGTGTTCCACAGTTAAAAAGAAAAATAAAACAGAATATGGAAATAAAATGAAGAAAATCTAAAAGAACTCCCATAAAATGATTTGAAAGAGAAGAGATATAGGGTAACAGGAACTCAAGATAAATTGGCTATTAAAATTGAGCATCGGGACACCTGGGTGGCTCAGTAGGTTGAGCATCAGACTTCGACTCAGGTCATGATCTCGCAGCTTGTGAGTTCGAGCCCCGTGTATGGCTCTGTGCTGACAGCTCAGAGCCTGGAACCAGCTTCAGATTCTGTTTCCCTCTCTCTCTGTCCCTCTTCTGCTCATGCTCTGTCTTTCTTTCAAAAGTAAATAAACATTAAAAAAAAAACTTAAAAAAAACTGAGCATCAGATTTACTGGGGAGAAAACATTCCAGGTTAAAGAATATAAATGATTGCCTTTTCCTGTCCCTAAATCTTAATCTATAGGATACTCATAGCAGTGTAATAACAGAGAATCTCCAAACTCTAAATATGTATTTTTTTCATTACTATGTTATTTGACCATTGGAAAACCCTAACCCAAACAGTGTATGTCCAGGACTCCCGGCAATCAGGACATGAGTCTCAAAGAAACCGAATTCATTCTGCCTCCTGTTTGTTTCCTCATTCGATTTTTCAGAAAATTCTCAAGGTCATGGAGGTGGAGATGGAAAACATACCAAAAATTAACAAGATGTTAGAATTCAAAGCTATAAAGGTCACGTATATATAATGTGGTATTGATAGCACACTAGATTTATACACTGATATTTCTAGAAATACCATCCTCAAGGAAGACTTTTAAATTTTATTAATTTGATGCTTCTGAACACAATAAAATAAACATAAAACATTCCAGTTAATTTGTAAGGGAAGACGAATTCAGGGAGGTGGAAACACATAGGAAAGGTATGTACATTTAGGCAGATACTCTTGCTTCCGTTATAGGTTAATGATTATGAACGTATTTGCGCTGCAGTGAGACGTTTTACACCATTTCTAGTCTGAATGCGTCAATATTTTATCTAAAATGAATACGGTGTCATGAAGATAAAGTAGCAAAAATGTACTTGAGGTTAGAAATGATTATAACCATCACACAAACATATTTATCTGTTTCCCTTAGGACATGTTGCCTCTTTTCTTTTGCAAAGCTTTCATGAGATCGGACATGAAATCTTGCTCTCCGCTCCCTACTCCACCAGGTGGTCCTGGATTCTCTTTCCTCTTCGGGGGAGCGGGAGGTCTTTTGCTGGCAACGGGAGGCGGCTTCGGAGAGTTGAGTGCAGGTGGGGGCGGGGGCGGGGGCGGTAAAGATAACCCAGCATCCCCTGCAAACGACGGCGGTGGGGGAGGCACGAAGTCCGGGGGCCCTTCGTTAAAATCGGGGGGCGGCGGAGGGAGCCCCTCGTCGTCCTCCAGGGGCGGTGGCGGTGGGGGTGGTGGCAGAGAGTCGTCGGGCGGCGGCGCAGGGAAGCCGCTGCTCATGCCCTTGGCCCTGGGGGTTGTCGCTGGGCTGCCGCAGATGTCTGAAGACCTTCGCACGGGAGGGGGCGGTGGCAGGCTGGACTTTGGAAGGTGATGGGCCCTGGGTGTTCCTGGGTCGTGGTTACCAAGAGCTGGCTTCTTGTCCTTCAACAGAGCAACCACAGCATATTTCCATTGAAAGGTGAGGTCTTGCTGATTTGGGCAGTGTCTGCTTCCCGAGGGGCGGGGGGGCCTCCACTCCTCAGGCCAATTCTACAAGTTGTTCATGAGCTAGCTCATGTTTGCTGTGAGTAAGGAGAATGACTCCAAATGGCCTCTAACATTATTACCAATAATAACGTTATTTAATGCTAGCCTACCATGTCTTCTTTGGTAAATCGAAGACTTAGTCCTATTCAATGAGGTGTTTGTTAGATTAGAGATGTATCTCCTCCCAACCAACCACCTTATAGGGAACTAATCCATGTCTTTAAAAGAGCTTTAGTGATAAGGAGTTTAGCTCCTTGTGTGGTTACTTCAGTTTTTACCTACCCTAAGCTCAGCCTAAGGAAACTCAAAATGGAAGCAAAATGGCTCTCCTGGAATTCCCACTCATGCCCTGGTTCCCAAGACAAGCCACTAGGGTCCTAGACATATGCAGCCATACCATTTTTCTTGGTCTGAGTTGAGCAGGTTGTGAAGCTCAATTGTCAGAAGCAGGTGTCTGTGAAATTATTTTCCTTTTGTACCATACCTCCAGTGGCAGAGAGCTGATTAGGAAGCTTCCCGAAACTGTCCCCAAATCTCCTGGCTTAGATGTCCTCCTCTTATAGCACAAGGATGATGTACTTTAGGCTACAGGCAACCTTTGTACAAATCTGAGCACAAAAAAGACTCTCCTATGAAAGAACTGCCTGCCTTTTCTTGCATCAGTGGTTGCTGGCATGCTGAGAACAAAGAAACCTTTGCCCATGACTGTGGGCTACCAGGGAGAAACCAATTATATGCTTCACTCCCTCTGACCTAACAGCTTCAAGGGAGGTGGTGGGTGGATCAAGAATCCACACATCTGGTCCATAGTCTTAGATTTACCTTTTGTGAACTGTGTGAAAGTTGGCTGGCTGATCAGGTATAAATCAAGCATCATAATCTTTACTATTTCTGTCTCAAGGTTATGTTCATATTAAATGAGCTAAAGGTGTGGCTGGGTTCTGCAGAGTAAGATTACACTGCACATGCTGCCGGGCAGAAACCACAACACCGAACTTGGCCAAAGGCTAACAGAGGCGCAGTCCTTCTGCCAACGGTGGAAATCGATGATAGTAAATTACGTTTATATAATGCAACTTCCCCAGGGATTCCAGGCAGCTTAGCTGAATCCCTCTGTGTCAGTGATAATTACCATTGCAATTTACAATTTATCAGGCTTTCACTTTCTTTTTTTTTCTTTAACAACCTCTTACCACTGACGATTAAATTTAGAATTTTTTTTTTTTCCTAACAAAGTGCCTTATGATTGAGAGTTCTATTTTATTTGGTTTATTTGCTTAGCACGATAAACTAATTGGCTAGTGATGTAATTTAAAAAAATTTCTCAACAGGCAGTTTGGGAACTGATGTTCACACAAGGTGAAGTGATTTCTATTTTGGGGTCCTTTTGTTGCTTTCAGCATTTTAGAGTCTTTCTCTTTGGTAGGCATTACAGGAGCCACGGAAATAATAATCACTGAAAGCACAGTGTATGACGTCAGACTTGAGAAGCTAATAATACTAGAGTAATACAACTTTTAACGGTCTACAATGGTTTTCAAAAATTGTAACAAATTCAATAAATACAGGATTTAATTGCTCCCACCACTGACTGATGGACAAAATCAAAGGGGAGAATGAAGTGAAAAATTACAGAAGGCACAATTATTTAAGGTTGTTTGTTTTGAATCACACATGGAAAATATTCAACAGAATAGTAAGTTGAGATGTTACCAATTAGGCTAGTAACTAGATTACAACTTTCAGCTATAATTTTTAGATAAATTTAAATGAATCTTCATTAATCTCCTTTACTGAAAAAAAAATTATGGAGAATGCTATGTCAATTTGGCTAGTATTTTAAAATGTGTTTTCTTCTCCATCACCCTGAGGATGTATGCAGAACATTAACAGAAAAATATAAAATGCACATTTTATAACAGAACCCTTTTAGTAGTCTTCTAATCTGGTTTCGGGGATTTTCACATTTAATATAGGGCTTCTGACTAACTGGTTGCTCTAATTTATTCAGGAAAAAAAAAATCCCAAGGGTTTAAAACTCAGGTGCCACTTTCAGAATGCTAAAACCACTTGCCTAAATCAAGAAAAGCCCTTCAGTCAAAATCAATGGAGCTAAATTAAAAATATTTACCAAGCCTTAGCATAAAAAAAAAAAAAAATTCTTACATTTTTCTGAAGTAATGTGGTAACAGTCGGCTTTAACTTTCCATTCTAGCCTGTATAACTTTAAGATTAAAAAACCCACACAATTACCTAAATGAAATTACAGTGACTTCTTAGTAGTTGGAACTAGATTTTCTCTTTTCGGAGGAGCAGTTATTGGACACTGCTAATGGTTTAGAATACGGGCTTACTGGAGACAGTCTGAGAATGACGTCCAGTCACTCTCTGGTCTTACCTTAGTAGTTTCTGCCTGCTTCTGGGCTTCTTCAAGAACAGCATTTACAGAATGTGCAGCCTGGGGAATCTGCCCATTGGCCTGGGTGGTGCCTGCTTTAGGTCCTGAAGGGGAGAATAAAGACAAGAAGAGTGGGCAAGGCATATTCAGCATTCTTGTGAGTTCATCTAAAAATATAGTTTATATTTCCAAAGCAAAAGACAAGGAATTCTGGGTATACAGGCCTTACAGAAAGTCTGAGGTTCTATGGCAACACTTCATGAGATTCAGCAAAGGTTCAGGAAGGTGAATGCTTTATGTAGGCTATGACATCTCGATTAACTAGGGGCCTAGAGAATGGTATGTTCTGTTTTCAAAAGCCTTTTGACAACTGGAGAATAACTTTGAAAAACTTTTTAAAAATTCCAGTTGCTGAAGATTTTTCTGAACCCTATGTTTCAGGGTGCCTGGGTGGCTCAGTCAGTTAAGCATCCTTCTTGGTTTCAGCTCAGGTCATGATCTCATGCTTCATGGGATTGAGCCCCACGTCAGGCTCTGTGCTGCCAGCATGGATCCTGCTTGGGATTCTCTCTCTCCCTCTCTTTCTGTCCCCCACCCTTATGCATGCACTTTCTCTCTCTCTCTCAAAAATAATAAACACTTGAAACGTATGTTTCTAGTTTCATACCATGCTGTGTATAGGAACAACTTTTAAACATTATTCTCAACAAAAAAGTAGGATGGGCACAAAAATAGAAGACACAGGGGACTGAGTAAAATGTGCAGACCCCTGAGATACCCTGGAATAGGTTTTTTTCCCAGCAAGTCATGATAAGCACTTATTTTATTTTCTTCCCTTTTAATTTACCCTTTGGCACAAAAGTGAGGCTAACTGAGGTTTTGCAGTTTTGAGGGAATCTGATAGATTTCATTGGATGTATGTGGATCTCTCTGGGTCCTTAGAGAACATCCTGGAGAGGACGGCCATGCCTCCACACACAAAAGACATTTCTCCAGTGACCAAACTGCCACCCAGCCCATGACATGAGCTCTTGCCACTGAGTGAACTCAGAGGTTCCTTTAGCTATGCCCACTGCCTGCTATTCTGTCAAATATTTATGAGATGGCCGTTTGCTTGCTTCTTTAAATATTTTTCCAGTAGTTTGAGAAACCCATTCATCTACATAACAACTCAGAGAAGGCTATTAAGGACATGACATTGGGAAGAGGGGAATGTTTGATGAGGAAGAGGATATTAACAGGGCCTAAAGTATCTCTCTGCAAATTATTAAGTACCAAATGAAAAATCTGCACAGGAGAGATATCGGACATTAACCAAGTGGTCAAAATGAATGTTTCCAATGAGGGGCAAACAGATGTCATATGTGTCTGACTGTGATAACCTGAGGACATGCGGCCCTCATGCAGTATTCTCACCAAAAATGCACTGTCTGAAATGAATCATAAGGAAACATCAGACACATCCAAATCGAGGGAATATGGATGTGATTTAGATAAAAATATCCTATCAATATTGAATACTAAATTTCCTGGATTTTCTAACTGTACTATGGTTTGTAAGAGAACAGCCTTGATTTTTAGGAGTCACAAAGGGAAGACTTAGGGGCAAAGGTGTATGATAGATTCAATCTACTCTCAAGTGGTTCAGGAAAAAAAAAGTCTTTGGATAACATAGGGAGAAGCGGGAGTGGGGAGAGAGAAATGATAAAGCAAATATGGCAAACACTCAATACTGGAGATCTGGGTAAAGGGTACATGAAGGCTTTATGTACTATTCTTGCAACTTTTCTGTGTTTGAGATGATTTCAGAATGAAAAAAGATATTCGTGTCCGTTTATGCAGTTGAAATATTAGAACAGGCTAGAATTGCTTTCTCTCCTGTCAGTGTTTTAATGATAAAATCCATGTCCCTTGTTCAGCAAGGACAGCCACCTCGTTGTTCTGAGTTGAGCTGTTGGAACGTACATGATGTGCCATGTAAATGTGCATTTCTCTCACTCTAAGGCTTATTAAACGTCTCTGATTAGTCACAGCTTTGTTCTGGAGGTCGGGAAGCAACAGGCCTAAACATCTTTAAGCTTTAGAATGTTTCTATTTAAGACTTTTTGTAAGACTTTGTGCACCGTACCATTGTGCCTAGGAGATTTAAACATCTGAGATTCCAAAGTGCTCTATCTTCTCATTTCCTTTGGGCTATTTATTCTCTTTCTCCTTCTTCGTCTTATACATATTCAAATCCTTTCTTTATCTATAAACACCTTTGCATTTGTGCAAGCAGAGACTAAATCTGAATACTGAAGACCATTGGGGGAAATTCTTTTGAAGGGCAAAAATTATATTTTCTTTTTGCTTCTTTTGTCCAAACACATACACAGGCTGATTTCCCAGCAACATAGTGTGTATTTTTATGTAAGTAGGATGACCTGGTCTTTGTCGGTGAGAACAAACAGATAATAATAATAATCCTAAATGTTCCAAGCTGCTGTCTTCCTATTTACCAGGAAATCCAGTCTTTCCCATGGGCTCTCTGCCCCATCCTGGGACAACTGATGTGTGCCCACATATCCCATATATTCTGCAGGTGCCACTGACTGGGATCTAGGTTGTTCTGTCACTGTGTTAACAGTCCCAGCTGTCAAGTGGCAATACAGCCTCTCCCACTGTCTCTCTAGGAGTCCCTGGAGGAATTATGGGTGGGAAGTTTATTAAACAAGTATGAGCCCATGAACCATGAGATCATGACCTGAGCTGAAGTCAGACACCCAACTGACTCAGCCATCCAGGCGCCCCCCCACCTCCCTCGTTCTTAACCCATGTGGTTTGTGAAAGGCTGACCCTACCACTTGATCTGGCAAATCAGAAGACAGCATGCTCCTGGGTACAGTGAGACTGTTAGGGACAGGCACGAAACAGAGCCCTCCCAGAATTTTTTCAGAGATGGGGGCATCCTCTTTGTACTACGATTTCTGGCTGTGTGAGAAATGTAAGCCTGGAGAGTCAGTGACAGTCCTTGACATCTCAGGGGGACAGTGCCTAAAGAAACAGTATCTTGACGACATCACTTACATCCCTGGATCCTTCTATACCTGAAAGCAGCCTACCCACAGACCTCCTAGTTTTGTGCATTAATAAATCTCTCCCCATCACTCTTTGTTGCTTAAACCAGACAGAGTTAGACTGCCATGCCATGTGTCAATTGCCATGTGAAGGGTCTGGACTAAAAATAGTTGCTAAGGTCATAAAGTGATTTAATAAGTACTAAAAAAAAACCCTCTATGGCTCTTCTCTAATAGGAAAATAAAAGCTGCCATTCATCAAGAACGAATTACTTGTTAAGCACTTTGGATACAGAACGTCTCCATGTTTTTCAGTTGGGAAATCATAGCAGAAACACTTCATGATTTCTTTCAGTATCTAGGAGAACAGATACTAAACTAATAATCACAAAGATTATTAATTATGACTGGCTTATAAAGGACAATTCATTGTAGACCCAAGGATAGGAAGGAATTAGCTACATGAAAGAAAAAACCATCACAAACAGAGGTAATAACATCTGTGAATTCCCTAAGAAAAGATGGTGCTTGAGCCTTTGAAAAACTAGGAAGAACAACTGGCCCATGTGACAGGAACAGGAAGACACGGGTGGAGAAAGAGGCAGGAGAGTTGGGCAAGGCTCATATTATACAGGCTTAGTTGGCCTTGCTAAGGATTTGGGACTTTATCTAAGAGCAGTGGGAAGCTTCTGAAGGGCTACCCACAGGGGAGAACTCATATTTACATTTAAAAAGGTGAATCAAGGAGAGAGAAAAGTCTGCAAATGCAGGCAGTTGGAGCACCGCCAGAGGAGGCCAAGTGAAAGATCATGGAAGTTGGGTGGGATTTGATGACAATGGAGATGAACAGCTCTGGACAGATTTGACCAATATTTAGAGGGTAGAATCAATAGGAATTGGAGGTGATTGGATTTGGGCATGAGTGAGCTTTTCTTCCATGTGTCCTGCATGAGCAATTGGGCAGATGATGGTATTATTTACAAAAACTGAGAACAACAGTGGGGGAGCAAGTCTGGAGGGTAAGATGAGGAGTCAGTTTTACAGACATCAAGTCTGATGTATCCAAGTGAAGCCACTGAGCAGACAGCTGGATACATGGTTTTGCAGGTTAGCAGAGAAGTCTGGGTTCGATTTATATATTTGTGGGTGGTCAGCAC